TTCACACTTATATTTTTTATCATTAAATTCTAGTTTTGTAACCAACATTGTTATGGGTTTATTATTTTGGTTATTTTCAAATACTGATTTATTTAGTTCTAGCCATAATAGCTTGAGAATTTGTTAGTTTTTTTATATTTTTTTCCCAAGATTCTTCCGTTTTTTCAACATCTCGAGTTCTGTTCATTGAATTTTTATATATTAAATATCAAAATTTCCATCAGTTCATCGCCTTTATGAATATTTTTATTATTTATGTAATTTTTAATTCCCAGATGATTGCAATAACGATTTTTTACAATTGAAAATTGGAAAACGTTATTTTTTAAAATCACATTCCTTTCAATTTGTTTCATTTTGCATTCAGTAATTCTTACAATGAAACCACAGATTTCGCTGAATTCACAATTCAATTAGTTGGTTTTGAAAAAATGAATATTTCTGACTGTGGATTGAAAAACGAGTAACTAAATCGCTTTTATATTTCAGCAACTATACCTGGCGACTGGAAATTCAACAAGTTACGACGAGGGTGACGTCTCCGCGGGTTTAGGCCCAGCCCTAGCCCTAGCAGAGCCCTGCAATAGTAATGGGGTACCATCGAGAGGAGCTCTGGTAGCATCTGGTGCTGGTGATTCGGAGGGCTCATTATGGAATACAGCGGGTGAACAATTGTGTGTAGTTTGCCAATATTTTCCATTATCGAGGGCCTTATTACCCTGTCGACACACGTGCATATGTGCCTCTTGCTTCGGCAAATTGGACAGGTGCCCAATGTGTCGTAGTCCCATCAAGAGTTACTTCTGCATCAGAGGTGAGGAGTACATGCCACCCGAAAAGGAGATAAATCCCTGCAAACCAAGACAACCAACCCATGGACCCTCTCACTGGCTCCACGATTGGAATGACAGACTCACGGATTTTCTCGGTTTTGCTCGATAGAAATTTTTTATTTTTTATTTTTAAGGTGCAACAAACGTCCGACTAAGCTGTCTCCTTTAAAACAAAAATAGAATAGTTGTCCAGTTATTAATCACTCACACATCAACTCTACCTAAAATTTCGGTTATCAAATGGATTTGTCAATCCAAGCGAATGACATCACCAAAATCATATCGGTTTTACTCAAATTTATTAAATAATTTGAAGTAAATACCCCAGTCTTTGGAGTATTGGACAATTCATTCAGTTTAATTTTCTGATTGACTATTTTCTTCTTTCACTTTGAATAATGGAGTTGATAATCATGAGATAACTGTTTATATTCCACGAGCTCTTTCATTTTAGAGATTGCAACGATATTTTAATTTATTCTGTCCAGTGATGTTGAACGATGAAAAACCGAGATTCTGAAGGCGAGAAAATCGAGGGGACATTTTGTTGGAATTGATTGAATCGCAGGGGAGTGGGCTCCATGATCTCATTCAGAATCGCGGCTTCACTCGTTTCACACAACGATTTATTGTCAATTTGTACAATCAGTCGAATTCTCATGGTTTCCACTGATAATGCCTATTGTTGTATGTAATTAG